TCTTCTGGTAACTGTGGGTGATATCTGGCTAAGCAACCAAATACTGATGAACCTAAAAGTCCTACTCCATACAGGCTGCATGTGTGGCAGAAAGTGAAGGGGCTCTGTCTGGTGCCTATAGTACACGACAGTCCCACCACACAGTAAGGAAAAATGTACAATCCTACTGGCATTTGCCACATAAGAATTACAATTTAATTAACAGGGAGATAAAAAGGAGGGGGGAAAAAAAACAGAAGCACTCAGACGAATGAACAAATTTAAGCAAGGATTTAAGTTACCAAATAGGGGAGAATAATTCAATAATTAGTCTGGAATGGTGGTGGACAATATGTACAATAATTACAGGTGCACATCTTTCTTAAGGCCTTGGGCTACATATGACCTTTGACTGGGATTTTGGGTGCTACATTCCAAAAAGTAACCTAGGTCAGGACAACTAAGCAGGCAGGGCCAGTACAAAAGCTAGATTGCATTATTTTTTAATGCTAAAAATGTCACATAAAATGAATTACAATTTCTATGATTATTCTTTCTATATTTAATACTTTTTACTTTTCAGCCCATTAACATTTCTGATGTGGCCCTGGGAACCACAGTCAAGGATTTGGTGGGCCTCAGGCAGCCACTTGAATTAGATGAATCACAAGGTTGTTAGTCTGTGTGTTTGTTTTGGGCTGCCCAAGAGACTCCAGCTGCTACTCCTGCTTTCCTATTTTCACTTTGGTTGTCAGAATCCATAGAATTAGCCTAATCTCTTTCTCTGTCTGTGCTCTAGGCACAGGACCGTGCAATTACATTGTGCACGATTAAACATGCATTGCCATAAGACATGGTGTTTTGGAGTTCCCTTTGAACTTAAAGATGCAAACCAAGGTTCACATAAAATAAATCTCTACACTGATATTTGTATATACCTAAGGCTCTTTGCAGAGACCCAGTTTGGTGTTGAAGTCAAAGCATGAGGCTAGAAACCGTGAGACCATGGATTCTAGTCCCACCTTTGGGACAAAGCCAGCCTGGTGGCCTTGGCCTCCTCTCTCTCAGCTCTCAGGAAGGAGGCAATGGCAAATCACTTCTGAAAATCTTGCCAAGAAAACTGCAGGGACCAATCCAGGCAGTCAGAAGTCAACACCTGACACACATACAAGGCTTTTTGCATGTTTGTGAAATGCACAATTAATGCAAGGATGCTTTTGGCTGATAGGTGCATTTTTTCCTCTTTCCTCTGCCCCCCCCCCAGCCCTTCCCCAATCATATGTAGCCATCAGGGAGCTCTGGTGGAAGGGAAGGGAAGGGAAGGGAAGGGAAGGGAAGGGAAGGGAAGGGAA